GTCAGAAGAGGTAAAGAAAGGTTTAGACTCAAAAAATGTGACGTCAGAGGACATAAAGTACCTGCGAAGATTAGGTGAGTAACAACGATATCCCTTCTGAACACGAGAATAACCAAGGAAGACACACTTGAGAGCACGAGGAGCTAACTTATCTTTCCCCGGGGCTAAGTTATGAACGAAACAAGTGCTCCCAAAAATACAAGGGGGAATAGAGTATAAGGGTGATTGGGGAAGCAATACTGCATACAGTATCTGATTCTGGATGGGAGAAGAAGGCATCCGATTAACCAAATAACAAGCTGTGAGAACTGCATCACCCAAAAAACGCAACGGAACATGAGATTCAATGAGAAGTGTGCGAGCAGTCTCAATGATGTGCCTATTCTTTCTCTCTGCAACCCCATTTTGCCGAGGGGTATAAGGACAAGAGGTCTGATGAATAATTCCTTGAGAAGTCATAGACTGCTGAAATTGATAGGATAAATATTCTAAGGCATTATCACTGCGAAAAGTGCGAATGGAAACACCAAATTGATTTTTAATTTCAGCACAAAAATTCTGGAATATAGNAAGAAAAAACAGACTCTGCATTACTCTCAATACTACGAGGAAAGGAGGCTCGGGTATGTTTCCCGAGCTGACATGACTCACACTCTAATATAGATAAACTAGACAAACTAGGCACCATCTTCTGAAGCTTGGATAAGCTTGGATGTCCCAATCGTCTGTCCCGTACTGCGGTCTTGCATAATAAAAGAATCATCAATAAAATATATACCACAATGGAGGGCACGAGTCAAACGACTAANCGAGTCCACAACCCATTGTCCAAGAGTACTAGACTGGGAAATACAAGCAAAAGAATTACCAGCAGTAAAAGTATCAATCTGAGCAACAGAGGCTACTTGTGGAGATGTCTGCTTACTTGCTCGATACTGAAGGAACTCATTATACTCCCCTTCAGATAAAGAAAATCCCTGGTTACCTGTAGTCTCGGTCTGAGCAACATAAGCATTTTTGGGTGGGCGACCATGTAAAGAATAGCACATGTCACGAGTGTGTCCAAGTTTATGACAATAAGAGCACTTGGGTCTAGATCTTCCAAAGCGACCTCCTCCTCGTCTATTCTCTATAGTATGAGATGCCCGATTGTCCACTGTCTGGGATGCGAGAACAGATGAGTCAAATGTCTGTGATGAGATCACTGGGTGACTTGGTGCTGCAGCAAGGCGAAGTAATCGAGAGAATAATTCATCAACTGTGGGGACAGTCGGACTAGCCAAAATCTGATCGCGTACTGAGTCAAGATCATTAGGAAGCCCAACAAGAGTAAGAACTAGAAACATCTTTTGTCGCTGCTCTTGCTGCTTTGCAACACTAGCAGAAACTGGCATCAACTTCTCAAATTCCTCCATGACTGCCTGTACTTGTCCCAAGTAAGTAGACATATCTAATTCATGTTTATTTAAATTTGTCATCCGCGATATCACATCATAGAAACGAGATATGTCATTAGTGTATAAAGTGCGAGCCTTTTCCCAAACCAAATAACATGTCTGGAATGGACGAAACAAGGGCATCAACTTGGAATCAATAGATCGCCACAAAATACTGCATAATTGAACATCGATCTTCTCCCAAAGTGCTTTGGCCTTTTTTATCTCCTTCGCTAGACTTTGTGATTAGATGATCTTGAACACCTTGACCTTTACACCACAACTTGACAGACGAAGCCCAAGTCAAGTAGTTTGAACTTCCCATTAAAGGTTCTGAGGTAATCATAACACCGGAATTGCCAGAACCTGGGTTTTTAGACCCGAAGGCATCGACTCCCAAAGACATCGTTGGATTATCACCAAATAACAGAAAGAGTCAACTGAAAACTCGTTGAAACAGATGAAGGAAACACTGTTTTGCCGGAAAATTACTGTAGCTTCCGGAAAAAATCAGTGTAGTCGCCGGAAAAACTCAAAGTGGTCGGAATCAAACGAAAACAGTATGGGTGGGGTCGGAATTGGTACACGACCCAACTATTCTGAAGAAATTTTTTCAAAAAAGTGGACGGAGGGTGTTGCACGCGCCGGCGTGTGGGCTCACGCGCGTGAGCTTCTGGTGGCGCGTGGGCTGCTGTTTGCCGGAGATTTTTTCTAGGGTTTGGTCGTCGGACAGTGGCGACTCTTGTGGTAGTGTTAGATTTTGCACAACACTGACAGAGACAATGCAGACGCAAACAACCTTGAAAAAGTCGCTGGAAAAAGGCTTCCGGTGACTGATTTCTCTTCCCGGAGTCGTTGGAATTTATGCACAGCGATAAATCTTTCACTGTTGCTTTGATACCATGTGAGAAAGCACGGGAGAAAATATTATTGATATTATTCTCATATATTAAACATGATACAATGAGCCCTATATATATATACATAACATGTCCTACTCCTAATACATATGAGATTAGGGTTATTTACTACTATTTTGTATTTACATAAATATTCTAACAGTTCTGGCAAAACAAGAAGGATAAAGTATTTTCCAGTTACTTATCAAGTCATAAGCTAGATCCCACTAGGCATAGTATGTGTTTATTAGCATGAAACTGCCGAGCTCAGTGATGGAAGGTTGGAAGTGTTTTGATCTACCACGATAATCTTGTATTTTTCACAGGACTCATCTCTAATGATTTGGAGAATGACAACTCAGTTTTAAATGGTGATTACTTTACACCAACAGTAGTCTGTCATACTCCAACTAATAGCACATGGTGCTGAAGGATGCATATCCCGTGCTTACTGTGCATCAGCTCCCTTTGTGTTTATGTCACTCCTGNGTGTGTACTTATTGTTTGGGTAGTTTGCCTTTGTCCCTTTACGAATACTGTTCTTGGCTGCAGTCAGCTTGTATTGCCTTCGGAGAAATAAGTGTTATAACATCCAGTTTCATCTAATGCCAAAATGTATCACAGGTATCTCCATGGAATTGCTCCTGATGCTGATGAGCATAATTTATCTTCAGAAACTTCTGCAACTGTCAGAAATTTAGGGATGGGGACCAGCATGGACAGCACATGGGTATTGCCCTCTCAAGTTTCTTCAAGCCCCGCGGCGAGACCAAAAAATGATTCTCAGTTGCTGGATAGCTCACAGCAGATGCATCTACCTAATCTACTTGAGCCAATGATTGATTCAACAATTTCAAAACGACGACACCAGCATTGCTTCTTTGGCAGTGAAATTGATTCACCTGGAACAGTAAAGCAGGAGCAGCAGTCAATGCGCCCTTTCTTTAACGAATGGCCCACTGCTAAAGAATTGTGGTCCAACCTTGATGATGAGGAATCCAACAAAAACAATTTCTCCACTACACAGCTCTCTATATCCATTCCAATGGCTCCTTCTGACTTCTCTTCAAGAAAGTTCTTGCTCCCCGAATGGTGAAAATTGACATCCTTGGAAAAACAGCTTCTTCCATCTTACTGGTTTAGTGTTTTACAGCAAGCTTATTGATATCATTTGGTTTTTTCTTGGCTGTAGATGCTTGAGGGAGCTGCCGCTGTAAAAACTCAGCAGTCTGGTGCTATGCAGATGAGCAGACATGCTAGTACTAACACGTCATCTGCTTGTATGAGCTTTATGTAACCTTCATGTTACTGGAACATTGAGTTGTTCCATGTCTTTGTGGTTGATTTTCAATTTTCAACGATGTTTTCAGAAAAAAAACAAGCTGTCTTCAAATGCTGCCCATGTTCGTTGTCAAAAATAAATGTATTTTTACCAGTCTTTCTGCTGGTGTTTAGATGATGATTACTTTGTGGTTTCAATATTTGGTTATCGCTCAAGGAAACTTTTATTTCATTCTCCATTTGTTTGACTTATTTTTCATGGTAGCCATCTAGAAAAGAAAGAGAAATTTTCATAAAGCACTATCTTTTAATAGTAATTAGCCATCTATAGATATCATTTTGCTATATTACGGATTATAGATATCTTTTCTGTGGTTATAAGAGGTATTTGATGTATTTAAGCTATTGTATTCATGAATACAGTAACAAAAATAGGCGTGAATCAGAGAAGTCCAGCTAATCAGTTGTTGTATTCGACTGTATTTATGGAGTGAAACATTGGATTACTGCTGGACAAATTATTGTATTCGATGGTATTCACAGCGTGAAATATGGGATTACACTGTTTTTAAAACGGAAAGTGAATCAATTAACATAATAGACTCCCAATATAACTTAACAAACTCAATTATAATACACAAATTTTGTATTTTCAGTTATAAAAAAAGATTCTCAACCAAAAAATACCCCAAAACATAGTAATCTTCAGAGAAATTATATAATACATATGAATACATAAATTATATTAATTAAAAAAAACATATGAATACATTCATAGTATATAGCGAGACAGTGAATACAATGAAATACATGGAATACAAAGTGATACATTGAATTACAATGGAAAAAAAAGACAATGAATACAATGAAATACATGAAAATACATTGAAATATATTAACAGAAAATTAAGTTGCTCAGCCCCAAACTCCGCCGTCTTTGTTCAAGAGCAAACCCTAAATTCCGGCGAACCGTTCACCGAAGTCGGTAGTGAAAACGTGCCGCCTTCGTGAAAATTTCAACAGATATCTAGAAGAGAACATTGATTGTAAATAGTTGTTGAGCTTCTTTAGATGTCCCCAAATGAAATGTTATGTGGATCAACAAAAACAGGGAAAATGATATTTTCTTTCTTAAATACAAAGGATATGCCAAGAAAATTAACCTACCCTACAAACAACACAGAATTAACACTTTTCATTAGAGGCTGCTCTCAAACATGACACCCTTAAGATCCAGAAAGCCTGAAGTTCATATAATTCATTGGTACTTACATAAAAATTGAAAGCGCTTTTGTTTCTGAGAGACTAGGGACTGTTCCTGGATTTTTCAGTTGAGAAGATGTCGTTAGAAGGAGGAGGAGAGCGGAAATTTTAGTGGGATGGAGGAAGAGAATAGGATGTATCAAAGTAGAGAGAGAAAGAAAATAGTGTAACTGAATAGCGTATTTAGTGGCTTAGGGCTAGAAGGTAACCAAAATTAAATATTTTGTTATAAACCTTAAAATGTATCTATAGAATATAATTTTTTTTAAATGGTAGTATTTATTTAAAATAAATAAGGTGTTAACCTTTGCTACAGGAGGTAAAAATTCCAAAAGAAAAAAGCTTATTTTGGAGTACTAAAGCAGAATCAGAGAGGCACCAATGAGTTTCCATAAAAATCACAACAAAATCTGTAAAGAAAAAAATAGAAGGAAAAGCACAAAGAATTTCATTAGAGAAGATATACCTTTGGAAAAAATAAAAACTTTGCAGCAAAATTGCACATATAGTTGGTTGGAAGCAGATATTCTATCATTCGGGAAATGGGTGAAAGCCATTTGGATTAGAAGTGAGATGTTGAATATATCAAGAAGGAAAATAAGGATGTGTTTGGTACGAACGAAAATATTTTTCTTGGAAAATAGGTGAATTTCTTACTTATTTTTTGGTTTTGGTTAAGGTTAAGCAGTACAAAATATTTTGAAAAATATATAATTCAGGCAAAAACTATATGAGACGAAATGGATAAAGACAGGGGAGGGTGATAGGTTGGAGTTTAGGGGCCGAGGTGGTGGTGGCAATGTTATGGGGTAGGGGTGGGGTGGAAAAGAGGGTTGAAAAAGGTTGAGAAAGAGTTTTGAAAAATATTTTCCCGTCTTTTGGTAGGGAACAATGAGTTCATGAGGAAAATATTTTTCAAAATATTTAAACCAACCAAACATGAGAAAATTAGAGGTGTATTTGGTATAAAGGAAAACATTTTTCGGAAAATATTTTCCAATTTTCTCATGCTTGGTTGGCTTAAATGTTTTGGAGAACATTTTCCTTATGAACTCATTTTCCTCCAATTTTTTCTCCAATTGGAGGAAAATGTTTTCCTTATCAAGAGAAGAGAAAACAGTTTCCAAAACTCCTTCTCAACCTTCCCCGTCCTCACCACCCCACCCCACCCCTCTATCCAAAAAAGGCTTTTTTTTTCAAATTNATTTAAGGGTTTGGAAGATTATTGGTTTGAAAGTTTACGGCTTCATGTTTATTATATCTAAATTACTTATGAATACTCTTGAGAAGTCATTTTCCTTAATTTCCGTACCAAACACCGGAAAATAAATAAAATTACTACTTATTTTCCAAAAAAATATTTTCCACGAAAAATATTTTCCGTTATACCAAACACACCCTAGATATTTTCCTTCGTACCAAACACACCTTAAGTGAAAGCCATTTGGATTAGAAGTGAGATGTGATTGAATAAATCAAGAAGGATATCGTTTACCGATTCAATCGTAAAAATTGCACGGGGCGTCCTATTTGGTCGCCCTCATTTAACCTATACCCATTTTCTTAAAAACATTTAACTTGTACCCACTTTTTAAATAACTTCAGCCCCCTTTCTCCTCCTCCTTCTCCTTCTTCGTTTTCTTCTTCTTCTCCTTCTTCTTCTTCTCCTTCTTCTTCTTCTTCTTCTTCTTCTTCTTCTTCTTCTTCTTCTTCTTCTTCTTCTTCTTTCTTCTTCTGCTGTTGGTGCTGCTATGAAACTTCAGTTCATGGGATGATTGTCATAAATATGTTTATCAGATTATTTAAAAACAAATAAGATTGCAGATTTGTAAATCAAGCAGTTGAGGCAATAAGGTAAAGAAACTGCATTGCAGATTTGTATATGTCAGTACATACATTGCGCAATTGCTTCCTGTCACTTGATTTCAGGTGCTAAAGCAAAGTATATCCTTCTTAATTGATGTTTGGATTGCCCTCTCGAATCCGCAAATGGAGAGTAAAAAGGAACCTGAGAACAAGAATTGCCAAAATAGGCACGTATCCAGTACATAACTGTATTGAAGTTCGCCAGTTACAAACACAAAAACTTCAGCTCTAGAGCTGAAATTCGCCAGTTACAAAACAAAAACTTCAGCTCGCCAGTTACAAAACAAAAACTTCAGCTCTGAAGCTGAACTTTAGGCCCGGCTACTAGAATGCTGAAGTTTTGCATGATTGTCTTTGCTACTTCAGCCCCGTATGCTGAAGTTATGCGAAAAAGCGGGTACGCTTGTAATTTTTTTTGTAAAGCGGGCACAAGTTAAAATGTGACACAAAAAGCGGGTATAAATGCAAATGCCCCGATTCAATCTCATGGAAGTAAACTATATTTACTGTTTGTTAGTCATACATTCATCTTTCATTGCACGTGTAAACACTATGAGGGTGTTTGGCTAAGCTCATAAGCTGATCAAACTAGCTTATAAACACTTTTCGGCTTATTTGCGCGTTTGGTAAAGTTAAAAGTTCTTATAAGCCAAATGCTCATAAGTTAAAAATAAGCCAAAAGCCATAAACTAGTCACCCCAGCTTATGAATTTTTAGCTTATAAGCACTTTAAGTTTGACCAAGATTTTTACTATTTTATCCTTAAAATATTTTTTTAGAACTAAACTCCTACATCGATACTCACTGTCTCAAGTATTCAATCTAAACCCCCCTCCCCCCCTCTTGCCACATCTTTAAGTCTGCAATTCTTATTGACTATCTAAGATAAGCAAATTTTCTATTCCGTTACATATTTATATCTCTGTGATGTGTATTAATCTTTGAACTGTATGTAATAGATGATGACATACCAAATTTTTGGTGTATTGCTTTTTAAGTGTTGTGGTGATGAAAACAATGTTTGTTTCTCTTCAAATATTTTGTACTATTTAGATTTATTTTTTACTGAGAAACTTTTGTCAATTTATTAGTAATTATTATAACTTATGATTATATGCTTATGATAAAATAAATTATATTTTTCATAAAAATTATCTTATCTAAGCACAGTTGTATTTAAAATAAAATGACAAATAGAATATTTTGTATTTGAATCGATCTGAAATCTAAAATTTTGAAGAGATTACGCCGTTATAAGTGTAAATAGTTCTAAGGTTATTTAAGCCATTTTAACAGAAAAGAGCTTATCAGCACTTTTTTTTATCAAATACTACAACAACTTATTATCAATTTCAGCATTTGCACCCAAACACGTAACTGCTTATTTATTAAATCAGTTTCAGCATTTAAAAATTCTTTTCAGCACCTAATGTTTATCAACTATTTCAAATCAGCTAATCCAAATGGGCTTTATGTCCCCTCTGGCTTTGAGTATCACCTAATGTTTGAGTATGAATTATTAGACCTCTTTAGTCTAAATATGGAATCGGACCAATGAATTTCCTTCTCAATGAGGTAGTTTACATCTTGACTATCTGCATCATGTATGTTAGCTTAATCATGCTATATATGTGTAGACAATAAATTGTATCGAGAAAATAAAATCAAGACCGGAAATATTGTAACAATCGTAGTATTTGATTTCAAATAATATGAGTGTACAATCTCTATGAATCCTCTGATTCTACTTTTCCAATAGTAAATAAATTCAAGGGTCTTTGAGCTTGATCTTGAATATGTAGTTACTGCAACAAACGATGATCTTGTTCTTGAGCTTGATCTTAATTGCTTGAACTTTACCTTTATTTGTTCTTCGTTCTTGAGCTTGAACTTGATTTGTTCTCGAGTTTGAAGCTTGAAACTTATAGAGGAATTTACAGCGTTTGATCGACGAGCTCTTTGTTGCTTCTTGTTATAACTTATGATATCTTGTCTGAGTTATGAAAACTCCTATTTATAGTTGTAAAAAGGAGGAGTTGTGATAAGAATAAACTCTTTCTGACTAATCAAATTGAAGTGTGATATGACCACATTTGAGATTAAATTCAAA